CAACATATTTTACATTTTCAGCTGTTTACTTTCAAATGGTCATTTACAAATCACTTGATGTGTAGAAGAAGAAATATAATTTCTTTTGATATACTTCGTAGACATAAAATTCGTTAAGTGTGTAACTTCCATTATTGTTTTATTTACATTATTTATTTTTCGTTTCATTTGCATAAGACGTGATTAAATTTTCTTGTTAACTCAAAAAGGTTATTCCATTTATCTACCCTAAAAAATCCACCCTAGGGATAATCGGAATTCACTTATATTTGTTCTTTCGACTTTTTACCCCATGTACAGTTCAACACATACGGTTAAATTATTAATTAAATTTTAATAACCACAAACTTAATCAAAATTATTATGTATTGCCGGTACTGTTACAGTTATAACCTTAAAGTCCATACATTACATATTGAATTTAAATCAAATTGAACTTCCTCGTTTTAAATAGTATATACATTCTGCAATATGTCCAGGCAATTATCAACACTAATTTAAGACGTAGGAAGAGTAGACGTAATTTGATAATGACCATTCGGTGATCGCTATATATATATATACCGAATGGTTAGAGGCACACTGAACCTAAACGTTAAGTTGGAGAGGTCTCGTCTAATGAAGTCAACGCTCCGGCACTCTCGTGCTCTAATCCAAAGTTCTTAAGCCTTTCAGCTTTCAGCAAAGTTACAAAACCGTTTTCAGTGCCTAGAAGATTGCATGCAATGCTGTGGACGATATGAATGACAAACTCGTGGAAACTGTCCATGCGGTAGGAGATAAGTTTTGCAAGACCCGCCGCAGAAGAACACAAACTCTCCGATCATACTCTTGATCTCATGGCCTTTAGACGGAGAATGAAGATGCAGTCTTTAGTTGATTTGACCGCATACAGGCAACTGAACAAACATATCTCCAAATGCATGCGGCGGTACTTCGCAACTTTAATGCTGCTCGTATTGAAGATGCGATCGAGCGGAACCAGGGCTCTAGTCTTTGCTAGAGATCTGTCAGAAAGAGCCAGACGATATAGTCCTAATGGCAGAATCGCTGGAGGGCCTAAGCACTATTCTCAATGACCTCAATAGTGCCTCCCAACGGATAGGTGTTAAAATGAAGATGGATAAAACGAAGATCATATATAACGTCCATGTCACATCTATGCCAGTAGTTGTTGGGAAGACTAGGCTTGAAGTTGTTGAGGAGTATGTTTACCTGGGACAATTAGTCCGACTAGGTAAGTCCAACTTCGACCGAGAGGTCAATCGACGAATTCAATCCGGCTGGGCAGCGTTCTGGAAATTACGACACATCTTCTCATCAGATCAGACTAGTGCGTGTTGCCAGTGATGACTTATGGAACTGAGACGTGGTCTCCTTCACTACTGGCCGTATGAGGAAGCTCAAGGTCACTCAGCGAGCTATGGAGAGAGCTATGCTCGGGGTTTCTCTGCGTGATAAACTTAGAAATGAGGATATCCGCAGTAGAACCAGAGTGACTGACATAGCCCAACGGATTAGTAAGCTGAAGTGTGTAGGGTGGATAAACTGAATGACGCGCCGAAAATAATTAATATTTTGTTTAAAACACAGGGAGTGCGAGCAGGTACAACAAATATAGCTTTGTAAAATAGGTATGTAATATTAAAAATAACTTCCATTCCAAAGAACAATTCAGCTTATTCTATAAATACAACTCTAAAGCAACGGTTGCTACACTTACTTATCTTAATTTTATAAAAACTTTAAAATGTTGTAAATTATAAACATTATTTTTATATTTTCATAATTAAAGAATAGCAATAAAGTTAAGAATTATCATAATTATGTGTGTTAGTAATATATATAGAAAAAGACGCATCGTAATGTAAAAATCGTCACGAAAATAGTTTGTAACTAAATTTTCACAATGCTAAAGATAGCTTAGCTCTATGAATTATGCAGATATTTTATTATTCAACGGTCCTTTTTTTGATTTTGAATAACTTGAAATATAAATATTTCACTCTTAAAACATAATGTTATATCGACTAAGGCAATCCAATAAATATTAGCCAAAAATATTGTAGTATGGCACAGTCTGGAATTTCACGCTATTAAGGACGTATTCACGTTCCAAACGCTGATTAGCTCAAAACAGTACATTTCAAACCTGTTAATATCCATCAACCGCTTATCTTACATAAATGTTAATTACTCATAACTTTAGGAAATTTTATGGTCTAAATAGTTATAAGATTTCTTTTTTTGTATTAATACAGCGTTTGCGGACTTTCTTAATATCCCTTTTAGCGAAATTTCAAACCTTAAAATATCTGAAATGGCTAATAATTTTATGAAAATAAAAAATACAATCAATTTGACAAACTCCTAGGAAAATAGTTACTATAAAATATATTTTGATATTAGGTTATATATATAAGAAATAAAAAATTCAAACCAAGTGAAATTTTTATGAAAGTGCTATGGATAAAACAATTATTTTCACCAATTTAAGTTACTTAATTTAATAAAGTAATAGCTTAATATGTTAGAAGAACATAGTTTTTAACCATAACGATAGTGCGTTATTATAGTGTTATCGACAAGACAGTCTTGTATAAAGTAACATATTTTATTATTATTTTTGATGGCCGGCAATATTTATTTTAGAGTGACAACAAATTATGATTCAGACGTAATAGAATAAAACGAAGTTACTTTTAGCAAATAAAAGAAAACGAAAAAATTTAGTTAAAAGTTTACATAGATAATGAGGTTTGTGTGCTTACTAGTTTATGATTTGACTTCAGGCAAAATAAGAAAGTCCCAAGTGCTGATAAGATAAGAACGAAAAAAGTTAAAAGTAATGAGATTTTGTATCTGAGATTGAAGGAAAGTATTAATAGAGAAAAAAGAGCTGGCCTTCATTAAAATGATAAACTTCTTTGCAAAACGTGTGTTGAGACTTTAAAGTTCGAATAAGTGCTTTAAGGCGATAATAAAATGGACATGGAAGGAATAGCAGGAATTATATCTACTGGTGCTGGATATATCCAGCTTCATATTGTTCTTGTATATAGAGACATCCCCCTGTACCTCTTCGGTTGTATGAAGCAACGCGTAATTAAGTTTATAGAGGTGGGTACAAACGGTGGAGCATCGTATAGTTGAGGCTGGGAAAGAAGAGGTGGAGCATGTAAAACTCATCGAAAATATTTCGTCTCAAGGAATACCAATGAAAGCCGTAATTGCAGACGCATGTTGAGTAAACGTTCATGCGGCACAAGCTACCATGCTTGCTCTAACGCTGCGACAATTGGTGACCAACACGGTAAAGAAGTCCTGTACTGTGGGTTGAAAGATTAATTAAAAAATAAAAACAAATTATCTGTACATGTTTCCGATTAGAAATCAAAGGGACTGAGCCATGAGATCATGTGTCATTCAAGAAATTTTGTGGGCTCAACAGGTAAAAGGTCTTTGTTAGACTACGGAACTTTGCTTATAAATACTTGTCCGTATATTACAGCTGGTGAAATCCCCAGAACAGAAAAAACTATACTGAATGGAGCACTGTTTTACAAAGGCAAACTCGCTCTTGAAAACTAGAAGGAAATTTGACAGCTTCTTGGTTTACCAAAGTTAAAAAATACCAACTGTGCTTTCCTTGTTAAGCAATACTGAGTGGGTACGATTTAAGCAATGTGCCATATATAAAAAATAGCAAGAACAACGAGCGTAAAGCGTCCCGTTAGACAACATACATGACTGTAGTGCATATATATACCACAAGTTTTCATTTCCGAGTGCTATTCCAGAAGGCAAATATGAACCTGGTTATTTAGAAGTGAAAGTGAAATGCTCATGATCCGATCATAATATGGAACCCGAACAAACAATCAAACAAAAAAATATTGCCTTTTGGATGTATAAATCTGACATATTCACAGTAACCACAAAAAGCAAATGGTACTACCAAGTTCAGGGCCAATTACGAACTGGTCAAAATATGTGTATATTTGCCTACGGATAGGCGACGGTAAAATTAAATTTCAATTCATAAAAAGAGACGACCATTTCTGTAAGGAAAACGTGGAGGGACTTTTAGTAAAATTCTACAATAACTGCTTACCTCCAGAGCTAGTTGAGTTGATACGCGAGATGTACGAATTTAAGATATCAAAGTTCACATACGAATAAAAACATAAAAAAATGTAAAAGCAAACAAAGACATGTATTATTTATAAATTAAAAAAAAAACAGATTACTTGCTCACACACGCACATACAATCGGTACATGTACAATAAAACAGCCGCAAGCCCACTTGTCCTATATAAAATTATTCTTAATATGCTGAACCCGCACCCCACTCTCAAAGTTACATATAATATAAACATTATTATCAGATAGATACCAAATGCAATGGCAAAGTTTCGCTAACTTTACTTAATAATTGTAAAATTAATAATACTTCAAGTAGCCTCCATACAAACAAAGAAAGAAAAACGGAGCGCTGCGTACATTTCATGGGATGCAAAAACCAAGCCAAAACTATGCTCACCTTATTACGAGAACACGCACTCACATACATGTACGCATTTAAAATAATTTGCAACCATTGTTCACTTGGTTTTAGGTGCATCCATGTGTGCAGCCATCAGTAAACTTTTACGGGCTGATAAAGTTGAGCATGGTTGCAGTTGTTGTTGTTGTTGTTCAAATGTACGCGGCGCTCTGTGTTTCTTCCTTCGTTGGTCTGAGCAAGTATCAAGTTTAGTTATATATATATATATATATAAGCAAGTATAAAATATAGCGGAAAACTGTTTCAATGTGAGCATGCGTAAGTCAGCTTACAATTCCAACATCAAAATTCGAGCACATCAAAAACAAAACTACGTCTTTAAAAATTAAACGAAAATTTTGACAGATCAGCATAATCAGCAATATTGCGTACAATAGGCATTGTATGAATGATACCGACTAGACCCACTGTACGGTTATGATTAGTACTAGTTCAAATTTTAAGGTTATAATGAAAGTTGTGGTGAACGCAGTCCGCTGTCTCTGGTGTTCGGCTTTCGGCCAATAGAGAGGCGACGAAGTTTTCTTGTTCCTTTAGTCTTTTGACGAGAACTTCCCATGAGCCGTAATTGAGATCCATTAACTGTGCTGCTTTCTTGATTATCTTGTGTGCTTCTAGACACCAATCCCTGTTCATACACATATAATGAAAGTTAAGCACTCAACTCAGACGATCTCTTTATAAATAATTATATAAAAAATTAAAAAAAAAAAACTTAAACAACACGTATTGCCCTACTTTGAGCTGTGATGCTCCTAGTGAGAATAATAGATCATAAGTATTAATAATGAATTTAATGTCGTGTCATTGGTTATTTACATCTGCAATATTTCATATTGTTCACACATTTGGAAGCAGGTGAAAAGTTTACAAATTAAAGTAGGTCCTATTTAAAAGAACATTAAAATATTTGATTTAAAAACCTTAAACGTAATAAGTGAAATATCATCTTAGCAGCAGCATGTATCTGATAACCAGTAGAAATTATAAAAAGGCTCTAATGCTCTAATAAAATATAAAATATTTGAAAATTTTATTATTTTATGAAATTGTATCTATTACAGTTTGTATCTTGGGTCGGTATCACCCTTGTAATTATTTCTGCTGCGACGGTGCATCCACTGGTATGTTCCAGTGTAACTACAGGCTGTGTGCAGCCACGTACCGCCAAGTGAACTGTTAGCTCATTTGACATACTAATATTATATTATGTTCTATATCAAATATAAAAAAAAACTAATGGCAATGCTAATCTACCCCTTTTGTAATAGAATGAATTGGCTTAAGAAATATAAAATAAAATATTTATAGATAAAAGTACAAGTAGCTAAATATCGTTTAAATATATTTTTTTTTATAAGATAAGGCTGACAAACGAGCACACAGTCCACCTGATGGTAAGTTTGCTGCGGCCCATAGACATCTACATCTATCCTCTGTTACAAATCAAAATGTAGATGCGTTGTCACCCGTGAGGACTAAGATGGAATGCCTCGTTTCCAGTAAAGAGGGCCTCCGGCCACCTGCACTCACCAAGCGAAACGCAGAGGTAAACCTCTACGTCACGCTGGTTTTCTGTGAGGTCGTGGTACCACCCCGGTTCGAGCCCGCCCATCTGTGTGACAGCAAAAGCTGCCGCGTGGCTCTACCACTGTTAAAATTTTAAATTGTACCACAAAGTTGAATCCTATCACACTGTCAAGAATTTGTAAGACGATATAGTATTTACATTAAGACTTTTTTTACTTTGATATAAAAATATTATGTTCATTAGACAAACCTATAGTCGGGGTGTCCCGGCAGCTTGAGTATCCTCTCCAACATAACATCGGACAGTTTCCGCATTTCATGCGCCACCTGTGATATTTAATACATAAGTAGTTTTTCACACCTACATATAGTAAAAAAATATAAGCTAGCAACCTTGATCGCAATGCCCCACTCTCTCCGTCTTCTTTAATTTGATTATATGTATATCTTTTAATATATTTTTTAGTAAAATTTTTACAAGAGCATTTTTGTAAAATTGCATTAGCAGAGATTCATTCCTTCGATGAATTGCTCACCTCGCTAAAAAGCTGAAACACTTTGCGAAGAGCTCATATGTTCGCCAGCGCAAAAAAACTGGTAATGGGGTAGATTTAGATTTAGCATTGTTGGAGTATACGTCATCATTTGGTCATCAGAGGCGACCGTAGTAGTAGTACAAATTTTTAAACTAACGTTTTTGTATCGTCGCCGGCTAAAGTAAAGTTACAGCCCATATACGTCCCACAGCTGGGCACAGGCCTCCTATCGTTTCTTAAAGGGTTTTAGACCAAGGAAGCGTTGGCGGAGTTGACATTTCTTAGATTTATTTTAATTTCGCAGACATGTAGAATTCTTCACGATATTTTCCTTCACCGCCGGGCACGTTGTAAATTAACACTTAAAACTGTTGTTACAATACAATTGACAATTTTATTGGCGCCGGTGGGCGGGCATCGACTAAAATTGAAGATGGAATGCCTCTTTTCAAGTAAAATGGGTCTCCGGTTCTCTACACTCACCATACGAAACACAGCAGTGTCAAGCTGCCATTTTACGTTGGTATTCTGTAAGAGCGTGGTCCTTCAACAGCTATATTAGTAGTATAGTGGTGCTACAACTATATTACTAATATAGCTGCAGCATGGCTCTACCACGTATACAATCTATTCTCTTACGCTCCCATCACATACAATGCTCATTGATATCACTATGAGTTGCTTATTATGAGCTAATTGAATTAATTATAACTTACCTCTACACTGAAAGAACCGAACTGATACTCAAGGCACTGCACGTTCTGCTTAATTAGTTCTATACTCCTATTGAAGTCACCTGCAAAGAAGTCGATTATTTCTATTGCTCATATTCAATGCAAGCTGCACTCTTAGTTATTTATTCAATTTTTTGACTTAATACGATACGATAAAAACCAGTAATAATAGGGTTATATAACAATTGCATTAAAGTTTAAAAGATTTATTTTGACAAACGAGCACACTTTAAAAGTCACAGCCTATAAATGTCCCGCTGCTGAGCACAGGCTACCGCTCATTTCTGAGAGGGTTTTAGGGCAAAAAAGTGTTCACCGCGCCGCCCCAGAGCGTGTTGGCGAACTTCACATGTCTTCGAAATAATTTTTTTCTTATTTCTCGGAGACGCAGATTTTCTCATGATGTTTTCCTTCACCGCCGAGGACGTGGTAAATCGGCACATAAAATTGTAATTAATAATTTCTTTGGTGCCGACGGGAAACGAACCCGGGTTGCTCGCGTACTGTGAAATTAACAGCGAGCGCCAAACATCTGAGCTACCACGGCTCACAAACTTTATCTGATGGTAAATAGATGTTGTGGCCCATAGACATCTACATCTATCCTAGATTAAGAATACAGATGCGTTGTTACCCGTGAGGACAAAGATGGAATGCCTCGTTTTCAGTGAAAAGGGTCTCCTGTTCTTTACACTCACCATACGAATCAGCAGCATTAAGCTGCTATTTTACGCTGGTATTCTATGAGAGCGTGGTTCTGCTCCGGTCGAGCTGAACTTTCGTGCTACAACCGTTATATAGCTACAGCGTGGCTCTACGATGCATAAAGAGCCTCAATAAGTCCCACTGCTAGGCAGTTCTAATCTATATTGACTTTATTACATTCTAAATGTAACTTTGTTTGTGGTAAGGAAATAAACGTAATTATTATGGAGGTGTATTTATAAAGTATTCTCATCTAGTTGGGCTGAATAAATATATATATAAATAAATTATTAATTTACAACAAACACTATTAACGAGATGTTCAATTAAAACAATTTTGGCGCATATATCATTTTAATTACGCGAAAGACATCGTCATCTCAATCGGACTAGAACTATATGCATGCTTTGTTTTCAAAGAGAATAAATATACGTAGTATGAGTGTGGACCGGGGGGTAGTCGAGATGCGCGGATCAAATCTGATTTTTCCTGCTTTTGGAGACGCTCTTAAACCGAAACTTGATTAACTTCCTTTTTGAAAAAATCTTTCTCACCATAGAATGGGCATGAATGAAAGTGAAAACATATTGAATTCAAAAATAAACAAAAAAATACTCGCAATAAAAAATAATAAGCAAGACAGCATCTGGCAGTTGAAAGATGCTTTTAAAATGGTGACAGTAACATTTTCTACCCCTTCACAGATAAGTTGGTTAATATTCAACAATCGTAAAGTATTAGATACCTAACTGCAACAATTAGCAAATGGTTTGCATATTCTAGTGTACTGGATGTACTACTTTAAGGTTCACACATGCATATAATATTATAATAATAACATATAATAATATCATGTAATAGTGTGTGTTCTTCGTAATATAAATCAGGGTTATACCGGTATTTGTGCGTTTCACTCGTTCTTCCAGTCGTTACTTTATTCATTTTTATTTCTTTCATCACTATCACATCGTTAATTCCTTTCAAAAAACGTCGAAGTCTATTGCGAGGAACAGTATAAGCGCTAACTTAATAAGCTAGCATAACGACCAATAGTAACTATTAGTTCATAAATATTTGTGATTTTTTTAAGTACCGATGTCAGCGTAAACTCTCGCAAGTCGGTCGGCCGCGGCGCGCAGCGAGAAGTGATGCCGATGCCAGACTTGCTGCTTCATTTTGTAAGATGCTTGCATCTTCTCGCATCTTTCCTCGATATTTGTCGCTCGTTCCGCTGTAAATTAACTAAATTATTAATTATGGTGATACTCTCTTTTTCTAATTCTATTTGTAATTACTTATCAAATTATATTTTTTTATTTAATGAACGTAGTTTTATATATAAAAGCTATATTGTAGCACGAATGGGTCGGCCCAAACGGGGAAAGACCACGCTCTCATAGAATACCTGCGAAAAATAGCAGCTTAACACTGCTGTGTTTCGTATGTTGAGTGTAGAAATCCGGAGACCCTTTTTAATGGAAAAGACTTAGTCCTTACGGCTGACAACGCATCTGCATTTTAATTCGCAAACGAAGATAGATGTAGATGTCTATGAGCTACAGCAACCACTTACCATCAGGTGGACTGTATGTTCGTTTGTAACACTATCCTATTTAAAAAAAAAACGTAAGGTTTTTAAGCCAAAAGGCTATAAGCGCTGCCCTTTTGTGGCTGCAAATCCATTGGTATTCAAAGAGTATATAATCACGTTTTATTGGCATTATTAACATAAAAAAATTATCTTGCCGCAACAAACAACGCTTCAATATAAAGATGCCAATACATTTTGGAGGCGTAAAGCTTTAACATAAATACAAATATGTATGTAAGAACTACTATTTATGTAAGAAATGAAACTGTATAAAAAGTGGGAGATATAAATAAATATTATTATTATTATTAAATGGATGTTGTAACTAATGAATTACAGCTCATAGCAACATATCATGCTTCTGACCAAATAGTGGTGGTTTGAGAATATTGACTACTCCCAATCGTTCCGTGGGTGTAGTAAGACGCGGCAGAAGGACATGGCAGCACTATCTTCCTGATAACAAGCGTGGCAACTATGGCCAAATCGCACCCATGAAGCAATCCATAGGCTGAACTATATTTGGTAGTGTATATATTATATTATATGTGTATATATAATTTCAGTTTACTTAGGCCCTTAAAAGTAGAAAACTATTTTATTACATTTATATCATTTTATTTAATAGCTGTAAGTGTTTCTTTTCTCTGTTCTTTTCTCTCGAACGCAATAACGTTATAAGCGGCTGTCGTAATAGATACATAGCACTAGAATTTGCTAGAATGGTTTGCATTTAGGTAAGTTTTTTGGAAATCCAAATAAGTTAAGTATTCAAGTTTATTACATCTCTCGAAGTATTTGTTATGTTTGATGTAAATATATGTTCTTTAATCTGTTTGTTTATTGTAATACGTCATGCTGGGCAAAACAATCATTTGGTCATATTATAACTGATTTGAACTCTGAAGAGACTAATTTTATCTACTACAGAAGGCGACAAATTTAAACCTTTAAAGTAATTCTCGAACATCACTGGATTATAAGTACTTATATATGTAAAAGACAACTGCCATTTAGTATTCAGTTTACCTCGCAGTCGCAGGTGTTGAATTAAATACTCAGCTGGCCTAAAAAAATTAGTAATATGACAAACTGGTGGATTTTGGTGTCTGATAGTGGTTGTTGAAGGGTCTCATACATTGCATTGTAAGTTATTTTTTATTTCTATTATAAAGTACAAGTTTGTCTGAGCTAGTTTGAGAGAGAGTATTTGAAAGTAATATACCTTGCAAAGCCAGGTCCTCAGCACGGTCGATAATAGAGACGGCCCGATCCAAGTGGAACTCCGAGGAACAGTGTTGGCATTGCGCACGTTTCCCGCTGAATATCACAGGACTCTTGCACGATTGGCACACGTATGCCGAGAACAACAGCTGTAATGGAAACAAGATTTTAATTATAACTATCTCACTGTACGAATATAATCAAAAGAACTCGTGCTGTCTCTATCACTTTAAGTCAAAGTGACCAACACCACGAGACTTAACAACATCCTAAAATTGAGAAGCGCTTGAGTACATGGCCATAAAGCTTTCAAATCTATAATAGAATTATGACTAAGCTGGGAAAATAGACGCCTCCGTGGCGTAGTGGCTTAGCAATGAGTTGCAGCGCTGGTGGCCGCGGGTTTGATTCTCGCACGGAACAAGTATTTGTATGGTCTACAAATAATTGTCCCGGGTCTGGATATTTGTCCTTCTGCAATTTATATTTGTAAACTGCCTACACGATACAGGAGAAAATCCTAATGTGGGGTAAAGTTTCATAAAGAAACAAATGGTAAAATTAAAAATTTTGTACAACCGACTACAATATAAATTATTAAGGATAAATCAAAAACTACCGGTCAGACCTTGATGAAATTTATATGGGACCACATGAGAAGCATCAGTTTTCAAATAAAACAAGAATCATCGAAATCGGTTCACATAGAAAAGTTATGAGGTAACACGTCCTTTTTAAAGTCGTTTAAAAAAGGGAATTAAACGCCATGTGTAGCTTTTTTTTTTCTTTGGGCTCTTAACATCGAAAATAATATAATTACTATAGTTACGCAAAATATTAACTAACCAATTATTGCATCTTGTGTGTGATATTATGCTAATAATATTTCGTCATTACAGGTGTAACACACTTAAAAAGACTAGAGATTTTCATATAATAATTTATTGTATTTATTACTCATTGCACGTATTTGTATAGTAATTACCCTACTAGTTCATCAAATATTATAAGACTGCACGATTTACGAGTAACATTTCGGTTTTATAGAGTTACACATAGAAATTATATAATACTAGTTAATAAGAGACTTGCTAATAATATCATATTTGTATTGGATAACGTAATATAACGAGTTGTATTGGTGGACCTATTTAATCGTTTGAAATGAAACTTGCATTTATTTTTGATAGACCCTAAAGCAATGAATACAGATTCATTTTTCTACTGTTTACACGTGCACGCGCTAAAACTTGTTAAAACTCTCAGATTGGTTTCCTCATCGTAAACATTGTAAAATTCTATGATTTTAAAAAAAAAAGAAATTTATATAAATACTAATAACCATTTATTTTGTACTATGAGAGTATTTAATACTTTATTGTATTTATATATCACTAACTTTTTAAATTATAATTTGAGGAGTAATCTTAGCTATACATGCATAATTACATAGTAGGGCTTAACTAAAACTACCCACAAATTAGCGATCCTTTCTATAAAAAACTGATAAGGTTAAGTGTATCACACCTTTTTTACGTGCTATAGTCATGCTAGTTATATTACTGGTATAGTTGTGCATAGTTGTGCAGCACGAATGGGTCGGCTCGACCGGGGAAGGACCACGTTCTCACAGAATACCAGCTTAAAATAGTTTCGTATGGTGAATGTAGAGAACCGGAGACCTTTTTACTGGAAACGAAGCATTCCATCTTAGTCCTCACACAGCAACTACTTATCATCAGGTGGACTGTGTGGTCGTTTGTCACCTTAATACTATAAAAAATCAACCTTTTTCGTAATCTACTGGCCTCGTAGAAACGTTTACAATGAAATACTAAGAAGTGAATTTAGAAATTTCCTTTCCACGAAAAATTACAACTATTTCACAATATACAATAAAAAAAATGTTTTATGGAAAATAAAGTAACTAGCAGAAGAATTAAATTTATCTTTTTTCAAAAAATTTACTTATGTATAATATATGTATGACTTCGTTAAAGTGTAGCAAACAGAGACGTGTACCCATGGAGGGGAAAAAAGCAAAGAAAAAGTTGTCACCACAAAGTCTCTCCGGTCGGTGACGCGACACGCTGTACACGTGCACGTGAACATGTATTGGGCGCGAAGTTGCGCCTTGCGGCGTGGAGTAGGCTCGCGGGCGCGGTGTGGCCCGTAGCAGTTAAACACCTCTGCCCCGACCGACAATTCACTCGCACATCGCACTATCAGACGGCTATTATGGAAACTGCAAAACAACAGTCTTTTTTATAAATACTATTTATTTGTATAGTAAAACTTTGAATCCATTATTAATTTATATGTCATCAATATAATTAATAATGGATGACTTTTTTTACAATCTTCAAAAAATATAGGGCTATAAGTAAATGGAGTAGACGCTTATGGAATAGTTCTTTTTTACTAACATAGTCTGAAATTAATCAGCCAATATACAATTACACTACTAATTTATAATCTATTTTTCATATATTTTTTTAATTTTCATTGAACAACAACATACTCCCGTAAATAGGTTATATTTCACTAACAGAACACAATATTACTACCAAGACGGTAAAAAAAAATCACCCAGTATTAAAATATTCAATATATCATTATTATCGCATAAATAGTATGGGAGGAAGACATGGAAAAGAAAAACAAAAAAAAAAACAATTTTTTATATATTAATAATATTTTTAAATTACTAACGTATTTATGATGTTAGGGTCGCAGGAGTGATTCATCATGGCTGCAGACGGATAAATAGCAGTAGCTCTTCTTACTTCTCGTTCAGTTATTGTACGGCCTAGAATTAAAATACTTATTATACTTAATGTTTTTAATTGAAAGAGCGTAATAAAGAAATCTGTTCCGTGGAAAATTCTTCCCATGTTTGCAAGCTGAAGAAGCAATTAAAGTAAACATATCATGTAGTGGAATGCACTTAGATAAATGTAATATGGGACGCTCCCTGGCTAGGTGGCTTGTTAGGTGACCAGAGCTAGGCGGCTGGCCAAACATCAAGTTCAGACTAAGTGCGAGTCTATGTCCAGTTGTTAACTACTATAAGCTGTATATCTTTAGACATATATAAAATCCTTGATGCGTATGTTAGTAATCGTGTAACTCTTGTATGACTTGACCGATTGAGGTCACATATACACAATATATTTTGTTATGACGATACCATGGTCCATGGGCTAGGAACAAATTACCTTTTGAAATTTTATAGACTAAACGACTCATGTCCACAATATATGTATAATTTATATATATATAGCTCGTCTCTTGGACTTGTCGAACATTACGACACATAAGCAGTGTTTTACATTCACAAATAAACCAACGTTCGGTCACCAACCTGTCCCTAGATGAGCGGAAATACGGTCAAGATGATAATCGCTTTTGAAGATGAACGATTCAACGTATCGAATAGTATTATTAAAAAAATGACTCCGAAGTTTTTATTGAAACAGAAACAGAAACTTTTTTATTCAATATAGATTATAAATAATACTTATTGAAAGTCACTCTTTTGTTTGATTACCACTGATTCGGAAAAAACCTCTGTCCTGGGAAGAACCAGCAAGAAACCCAGCGGGACATTTTTTTTTAAATAACAGCTTACAATCATGATGTTACACAAATTAACAACACAACAAATTAGAAATAGCAAATTAGCAAATTAGAAATAGCAATTATTATAAAGAAGGTTTCTATGTTATGGTAGCTATCAGCTTGCAAACAGTCGATTTAAACTAATCTGTAGTCTCATTAAGGACAATTCAAACTTGCAAATCGAGATCACACAAGGAGCTGCTGGTGTAGGCAGAACGAATTTATCATCATACCCAGTTTCTTTAATTTTAAATTATTAGTATGAAAGCATAAAAAATGAGTTATGCACAAAATATGACTCATTCCTTCATCATCGTCATCATTGCAACCCTTCACAAGTTCACCGCTGTATAAAGGTCTGAGCCATCATCGAACTCTTGCATCTCTTATCAGGTCGTCACTCCATCTAGTAGGGTCCGTCCTACACTTAGCTTACAAGAGGCTGCCACTCGAGAATCTTTCTTTTCCAACGATTGCCAGTTCTTAAAGCTATACGACCAGCCCATTGCCACTTGAGCTTACTGATCAATTGGGCTATGAATATGACTGATTCCTTAAGGATAATGAATAATTATTTAACAATTCATTTATTTATAGAATTAAAAAACAGTAATAGTAATCAGTAAGTGGGTGCATTCCTAATCATCTTACTAAATAATCTTACTATATTAATGTTACAGGCTCGCTGCCGGCGGTGCAATAAAATGGGCAAACAGGACGCCACCTGTTGCGTTTTGCGCTCTCTGTCGCACTTAAAGGTCTTACGGCAGGTCTGCTCCTGCACGGCGTCCTGTTTCCCCATTTTATTGCACCGCGGGCAGCGAGTCTTTAACATTAGTATAGTAAGTCTACTGGGCCAATATGACTGTATAGTTTATATGTTCATCAGTTTTAGTTACTGTATGAGATTGAGGATGAGATTCAGTATGGTTCGATGGGTATGGATGTTTGGCAACGGTTACTTACCGTTCATCCCATCGTCTTCTTCAATCGTTGATAAACTTAAAGCAGCGTGTCCATTACACACCAACTGACCGAGGCTGCGCAATATAACCGCAGCAGCGAATAACTGCAACTGACTGCTCGACAGTCTGTACGGAACTTTACTGGGCAGGTACTCAAAAAATGTAGTAAAGTGTTCGAGGTAGATAGTTAGCATTGTTGCTGTCTGGAAAAATAAATCATTAATGGCGAACTGTAGTAAACAAAATAATATATATTTTACTATTCTAAGCCTTAAATACAATCCCACTTGATGGAAGTGGTGATGTAGCCTAAGGTGGTGAAGCGCACTGAATGAACTAAATCCTATTCACTCTTGCCTTGAATTCACCAACATTGTAATCGGATGGAAAGACAAATGCTGGCAACTTATTCCACTCCTTTGTGGTACGCATGACGAAAAATGTGACAAATCGTTTGATTCGAATGCGCTGTAAGTCAACAACGAAAGGTTGGAGATTGGCCGAACGTCTGGTAGTCCCATGGTGGATTGGAGAAGGAGGAACTGAATTATGCAATTCCTGCATACACTCTCCGGAATGCATCCTGTAGAAAACCGAAAGGCTATCTACACTGCGCCTGCGTAAGATTGGTTTTAACCAGATTCGGGTCACCGATAAGCCTCTTAGCACGCCTTTCTGTTGAGTCCAAAGCTGCTAGGTGGCACCGTGCAGCATCAGCCCATATATGAAAGCAATACTCCATGCACGATTGGACTTGCGCTTTATATAGAGTCCTGCTCCAGCAGCAAGCTGTGACGGCGTGAATACCGTCGCACCTTTGCAAGGACTCCTAGCTTTTTTGCAGCTGCTTTAGCCTTGGACTCAATGAGCCGCCCGAAGTTCAGACTAAATTCACTAGATTAAATTTCCTTAGAAAATGTTTTCATCGACCCTTCCGAACTTTGTCTATTCTATCTTTCTTGCGTAATGGTGGACAGGGTGGTCATTTTATACCTTGTAATTTTATTTTACTTATATGAAAACGTTGTTTCTAAGGTAATTCAGGAAAGGCCTCTCTAAACTAAAACACCATGTTTTATGCAAATAAAGATTATTATTAATATCGGAAAAGTTTAAATTTGCTCAACCTTTTTGCAAAAGTTGGTAGTAAGTGTATTTACGGGCTTTTAGCGAAATAAATTACAGTGTGTGGTGTGTGTTTGTGAAAGATGTAGGGATTATGGGACTTTTTTCATTTTCCTCTCTGTAGGAACTGTCTCACTATTTTTTTTATAGGATAGGGTGACAAACGAACACATAGTCCACCTGATGGTAAGTGGTTGCTGTGACCCATAGACATCTACATTTATCCTCAATAAAAAATCAAAATGCAGATGAGTCGTCACCCGTGAGGACTAAGATGGAATGCCTCTTTTCCAGTAAAATGGGTCTCCGGTTCTCTACACTCACGAAACACAGCAGTGTCAAGCTGCCATTTTACGTTGTTATTCTGTGAGAGCGTGGTCCTTCCCCGGTCGAGCCGACCCATTCGTGCTACAACTAATATAGCTGCAGCATGGATCTACCACGTATAAAGTAAAAACTATCCTGCAAGTATTCACAATCGCAGCTTTTTGTAGGGTTAATGTAAGTGTTTTCTGTTAGTTCTATAAGTTTTAGTTAGGTTATTGAACATATTATTTGGGACAACTCCAGTGGTTGAGATGACTATGGCGACTATATTTATTTTTTCTTACTTCCATATTTTTCCAACTTCTTCCTTTAATTCAGCTTATTTGCAATTTTTTTCAGCTATTGTTTTTGAATGTTATGTGTGTTGGATACTGCAATATCTATTAAGTACGTGGTTTTGTTATTTTTATCTTGTAGAGTAATGTCTGGTCTATTGTAATGAATAATTTGTAAGTAACTATAGCGCAGTCGTAGTAAAATTTATGTGAGACATTTTTTAGAACTGTTTGTGGTATGCATTTGTAGAACGGGCTGTTTGTGTTTTTAATAAGTTTATGTTTAAGTGCCAATTATTGATGTATGATGTTTGTTGTAGTCTGTCTGTGTGAGGCTTGTACATGCTCCGGTTATGTGTTGTATTGTTTCTGGTTGGCTATTGCATTTACGGCATTTATCGTTTTTTACTGTAAAATCTTTAATAATGCGTTTTCTATAGTTTTTTGTGTTAATTACATGGTCCTGTATTGCTATTAAAATATTATTATTAAACCGTATTAAGCATATATCGTACACGCAGTTCTCGATTTTAAACATTTTTGTATAAATTTAATGTATTATTAACTTAAATGTTATGTCTAGGGGAAAGTTAATATTAGGATCCTAAAATAAAGCAGCACATTTTATATTATTATATAATTAATATATCACATTGGATAACTCACCAAGGCGTACTGTATATAATCGTTGTTGTTCATCTTATCGAAGTTAGTGACCAAATTAAACATCCTATAAAATGGTGGAGATTCCTGTTTATATATCTGTATATTGTCGACTTGGGCATAGCCCCGGAACAACTCCGCGGCAGTCGTGGGCTCCGGTGTAGGCCCGGGAACTGCTGGGAAACCTTCGCTGGCACTTAGTAATAATACTCTGAAAACATTTCATTTTTTATTTAATAGATTAATATTAATTAGACTGTATAAAATAATTGTGTATTTTAAAAGAAACAAAATACACAATCCAATTAGAATAGAGGCAAGAATTAATGGCATGATCTAAAATTCTAAAAGAAACGACCAAATTGGACTGAGTTTAAATGAAGTAAGGTCTAATAAGACCAGAGGGATGAGAAAAGGAAGTTAAACAAGTTATCAGCGGTGTTAAGTTGCTTGACAATGAGGGATTATAATTCGTATTGCAAAACTGACCTAGAGAATGTAACTCATTTTTGGTAATAGACAATTTGTAATCTACAAAGTTTTAATATTATTGATTTCTTCGTTAAAAATTTGCAACCTATTTACGTTTCAATGCCTGGGCACAGGCCTCCTCTCATTTTTGAGAGAGTTTTACTTTGGTACAAACATATAATACATTATAGAAGTGTAGAGACTGCAGTTTCAAAATGAATACAGATAGTGAGTACACAGGAAAATGTACCTTAAAGCTAGATGTGCAATGCCTATTGTGGGGAAGAGTTCACACTGGGCCCCGGCACACTCCCAGCGGTGGAAGGCGAGAGAGGCGCGCGCGCGGCACCGCGCCCCGCAGTACACGCTGCGGGAACATCGGCTGCAACTGCACGCACCATTTGCGACTTTAAAATCTCATGACACACGTTAAAATAGCAGCTTAATGCTACTGTGTTTCGTATGATGACTAGAGAACCGAAGACCATTTTTAATACAGAAAAAGCATCGGCACTTTTATTCTTAATTCAGGATATATGTAGATGTCTATGGGCTACAGCATTCACTTACCATTAGGTAGACTGTGTGTTCGTTTGTCACGCTTATTCTAAAAAAAAACCATTGAAGTACTTTACTACGTACTAGAAGAGACACCGAGACTTGATTGTTTGCAATACGCGGTCCACGGGTCCAAAATCCACGTGCACAAACTTACTCATTCTCTGCCATAAAAAGGTACTCTGTGTCTTCGACTACGCGTCCCGTACTCTCATACAGATTTTGTTCGCGAAGTCTGTTCCAGCACGTAGTACATATTACTTTAATGTGACAAACAATAGTCGTCAGACAGAATGTCGCTCACGGCGGCCAGCCTCAACGGAGACTAGCCATCGACGCAGTACAGCATTATAGTGCACGAGTATGAGCAATAAATGCGCTCCTATATGAGTATAAGAAGATAGTCCGTTGAAACGGCAATACGAGATGACCAAAGAGAGATCCAGCGCAAGACCAGCTGTTTTGGTCCGAACCATGATTTTAACCCGGGACGGATAAAACCACATGAAAAATAATTTTGCTCTGTATTCTCGCCTATCGTACATTAAACAAATTAGCTTTACCAAAATATGATGTTAAAGAAGGTTGGTCATATCGTACCAGGCGACGAAACGATGGCGTCACTATATGCCATATTTATGAAAATATCCTTATTTTTTAAGGTCTTAAAAAACACAAATAATACCTCTCTAAGTAGCCACAAAAAAAAGTAATCCTTTTAATTTTGTTTTTGTAACTGTTCCGAAATTATTTAAAATAATGGTTTCAGAACGCACTGGAACGCACCTAATGACGATTCATTTCACGTATGAAAGGACTTTGTATTCAAATACTATAATTATTCACGTTTTTCTGAATAGTTGTTAATTTTGTAATTCAATTCAATTAGTATGTAGGCATCAAATCAACCACTATACTGATTTATTATGTACTGGATTCATGTCATAAAAATAATTATGTAGCTTCATAGAAAGCTAAGCGTTTTGTTCAATTACGTACAACGGAACATCATTTGTCATCGACAAGTTACATAATCTGTGGTCATCGATCGACACCATTGATGGATTGTAATACGAACTGTACTATTTTAGATTTCCTTCTGTTGTTTTGACCTAAGCATTGGTTTACGGACTGATAATTACCACTTGTAATGATTATTCTGTGCTTTTGATTTCTGGACACCGATTTTGCATCTTGGATATTTGTGAGAGACATCGTGCAGACAGCTACACAACAACGACAACTAGCCCTGCGATCGCTATGTGTTAATTGTAACATATGCATTGATACACTTCGCCGCCATCTTGTTTTTGAGCTTGATACCAGAGTAATTTCTAAGATCTACGAGTGGAATTCTTCAATAGTATATATTTATATACCTACTTATTTTATTACACTAACATAAACCATCACACTCAATCGTACATCGTAATACAAATCTAATTTTTATTTTAGATCACAGAAGAAGATTACTTATAATGTGATGCTAACCTCAAAAGTATTGTTGACGTTATTATAAAAAAATTGTGGCTATTTAGATATGATTTTCAAACGGGATGGTGTTAACTACATAAAAAAAAACAATCTAGCTATAGTTTGTTTTGGGACATGAAAAATAAAAGTCAAGTCCAGCTCCTATAGAAATTTGGCCATTGTTCTTTGTCATTTTTATTGGCACTATTGTCAGTATTTATATAAATACTAGCTGGTCAGGCAGATGTCGTTCTGCCCTTTTCGACGACCCTTCCTATGAAAAAATCCTTAAATTCGTAATAAAAAATATTGAGTGTCCCTTATCGGGATAAAAACTAAAATAAAAAGAAGTATAACTTCGCCTCCACCGCCGACCATCCCGCGGTGTGAGTGCTCCATGCCGGATGTGCTGTTCTCACAGCGCTCGGTTCGCAAAACACTTCTCTCCCTGGACATCCAGAAGTCGAGTGGCCCTGACGGAATCCCCCCAATTGTGCTGAGGACGTATGCTCCGGAGTTGCCACCGGTCCTAACGCGTCTTTTCCGGTACTCCTACTCCCAAGGCGTAGTACCGAATTCATGGAAGACAGCTTTTGTCCACCCGATCCCTAAAAAAGGCGACCGCTCAGACCCGTCCAACTATAGGCCTATCGCGATCACCTCCTTGTTCTCCAAAATAATGGAATCCATTATTAACTGCCAGCTCATCCGGTACCTTGAGGATCACCAGCTGATTAGTGACCGCCAATACGGTTTTCGTCGCGGTCGATCAGCTGGTGATCTTCTGGTTTACCTGACCCATAGATGGGCGGTGGCAGTAGAGTCCAAGGGGGAGGCGTTGCCCGTTAGTCTGGACATTGCGAAGGCCTTCGATCGGGTTTGGCACAAAGCGCTTCTTTCGAAGCTTCCTTCCTATGGGCTTCCCGAGAAATTGTGCAATTGTATCACCAGCTTCCTTGCAGATCGGAGCATGAAAGTCGTTGTAGATGGTGCATGCTCTGACTACAAGCCTATTAACGCTGGTATTCCACAAGGCTGTGTGCTATCACCAACGCTGTTTCTTCTGCATATCAATATGTTGCTAACTGGTAACATTCATTGCTATGCGGATGACAGCACTGGTGATGCTCTATACACCGGCCGTGCCAATATTTCTCGGGAAAACGTCGCTGAGTACCGGAACAAACTTGTGTCTCAAGTCGAGTCTTTGCTGAACAAGTCTCGGATTGGGGGCGACTAAATCTAGTCCAGTTTAATCCTCAGAAGACACAAGTTTGCGCGTTAACCGCTAAAAAGAACCACTTTGTCGTATCTCCTCAGTTTCAAGGCACTCCCCTTCTTGCCTCAGCCAGTATCGGTATCCTCGGAATCGACATATCGAGTGACGTGCAGGTTCGTGGTCACTTGGAAGACAAGGCCAAATTGGCCTCTAAAAAGCTTGGCGTGCTCAGCAGAGCGGAACAGTATTTCATGCCGGCACACCACCTGCAACTTTATAAGGCGCAGGTTCGGCCTAATATGGAATACTGTTCCCATCTCTGGGAAGGGCTCCCCAGTGCTAACTCCTTCCACTTGACCGCATCCAGCGCAGAGTGGCTCGAATCGTCGACGACCGAACCCTTTCCGATTGGCTCGATTCATTGGCACTGCGAAGAGATGTTGCATCCCTTTGCATTTTCTTTCGCATCTACCATGGGGAGTGCTCTGAGGAATTGTTCGGATTAATCCCAGCCGCCAAATTTCACGAACGCACATCGCGGCAGAACTCCCGATACCATCCACACTATCTGGATGAATGGCGGTCCACCATTGTGCGATTTAGAAGATGTTTTCTTCCTCACACGACTTCCTTGTGGAATCGATTACCATCAGCGATTTTTCCGGACCGATACGACTTAGGGACCTTCAAGAAAAAAGCGTACTCCTTTTTAAAAGGCCGGCAACGCATCTGCAATTCCCTCCCTGGTGTTGCAGTTGTTCATGGGCGGCGGTAGTCACTTACCATCAGGTGAGCCGCATGCTCGTTTGCCCCCTCTCCTATAAAAAAAAAACTATCCTATCTCTCAAGTTGAACGAAACTGTACAGAGTGTGCAAAAATTCATGGAGTTCATACGGACAAACAACGTGACACGTAATTTTTATATATAAAGATTAATTGAAATATTAATCCGAAGTACCACCCTTTTAACTATTTGTGCTATCAAGCAGCAGTGCATGCACTGTTGAGTTTCGCTCTGAAGAGTGTAGTGAGCCAGTAACAATAGGGTAATGTAATGACAGTCTATGACGCGTTCCTATCTTACCTTAGTCCAAAGAGAATATAACCACTTGCCTTAGTCCTTACACGTGACAAAGCAGGTCTATGAACTGCGGAAGCCAATTATTATCAGGTGGACGGTAAGTTCGTCATTTCAATGTTATAAAAAAAAATCGAAATATTTTAGTTATGATATTTGCAGAGCTCAGAGCTTATCTTTGGTACCGATTTAAATTATTTAATATTCCAAAAGCTATTTAATTTGTATTGATTTTAAACAATCGAAGAAGTTATATCCACCTAGCATCAAATTTATCTATAGCGTCACTTAAAATTAAAATGCAAATGTGTCGTCACCCCTGAGGATATGAAGAAATGCCCCGTTACCAGTATACAGACTGCCAGTTCTCTACACACATATACATTATTTCTTTTATACGTTTATTTAACTTAATATCGCAAGCAAAGGTTGTCTGTCCTATGGTGTGCTGCACAGACATTTACTGGCAATTTCGTGCACGTCTCTCAAAGCGGATAATTGAAAAATATGCGTTTAAGTAACATGCCTCTAGTCAGGTTTACTCACGGCACTGGGTTTATATCGGCTCGACAGCACATTTCACAAGCTGGATCATTGGAAGGCAATGTGACCCATGCGTAGGGTTCCTCAGAGAACAAAACGTCACCGCGCCGGACGCTTCGCTTAGTGACCACGTATCGACCGGCAGTTTCGTTTCGCCTAAGTAAAATAACAGTAGAATAAAACATAATATTTATTATCAATATATAGTAATAGATAATTAAATAATACTTGAAAGCCTACTATTAATTTACCAGAAACATACCTCTAACATATATTTTAAAATTAATTATTCAATATTAAAGCAGAAAGGTATGTAATAAATGCAATATAACTTTAACCATTACACCACTGCAAACGGTTCATACTCAGAACATGCTATGGACCAGGCACGAAAAATACACGATAGTCACTACTACGCTCACTAGAACGCAGTGTTGCCAGATGTACGATTTAAATCGTATTCATACGATTTTTAAGAGTTATATGCATGTACGATTTTTCCATTTTCTACCAAGTCTTTATCAGAATCATACAGAAACAAAGTAAATACTTTGTTCCCTCTAATAAAAAATTTGCCTCGGATTGTAAGTGAAGAAATAATGCAAAATGTGGACGATGAGTGGAGAAGATTACCCATGCTCTTTTCACTCTCCCGCCAGACGAATTTTGGGCAGAAATATGTGCGTTAGATGACTTTCAGAATATAGCAAAATTTGCTCTCAATTTGCTATGCCTTCCTCACTCTAATGCGGATTGTGAATAGTGCTTCAGTTCAGTAAATCTCATCAAAACGAAAATCCGAAATAGGGTCAGTAGTGAGTCTGTGAACGGCACGCTATTAGCCAAACAACTTATAAAACGCTTTGGTTGTTGTGTTGATTTTTCTCCATCAAGAGAAATGTTAAATAATATGAATAGTAAGATTTTATATGCAGATAAAGACTAATAATGTTGTGTTTTTAGTTTTCAATTTTTGTATAATTTAATAAGAGAAAGTTTAAAAAAGCGTACTATTTTTATTTAATTACCTTCTTAGGGAATACGACTTTTTACTTACCCATCGTACGATCGTTCATTCAAAATGTCTGGCAACACTGCTAGAACGTATCCTCGTGTTATACCCGCACGGGTACGCAGCGCGTCCATTTTGCCGTAAGGAGCTCTCTAAGCTCCTGGTTTGTAAACATTATACCTAAGCTGGTTGTTGTGAAAATTATTTATATGGTGGATGTTATAAAATTATCAGTAAAGGAATTGATATTATTTTGGACAAAGCAACGGTGAGCATACGGGATCACAACGTGTTTTGAGACCTGTGCAAAGCTGTCTGTTAAGGTGAAAGCGTCAGGGTGGCCTGTGAAATTCAAATTTTCTAACGTTTTTTGGAATTTGTAGGTCAGGATCAGATTGTATGTTTAAAAAACATACACTCGAATTGAGTACCGTCTCCTTTTTGGAAGTCGGCAGAACAAAATATGATTCGCGACCGTAACGAGTATGTGTTTACAGAATTATTATCTTTAAAATCACCACTACAACAACCCTTAGTTCATATAATCCCTTTAAATTAGTTTTTCATGAAATAGCCATACAATGGGATTATACGAACTTAGAGGGTTGTATAGACGATTATAATTATTATAATTCTGTAAACGCATATTCGCTACAGCCGCGAATCATATTTTGTTAAACATATAACCTGACACAGACCTGTAAATTGCAAAAAACGCCAGAAAATTTGAATTTCGCGGGCCACCCTGGCGCTTCCAGCTTAACGTCGCGTGACATGCACAGATCATATCGGTACCTGCAATATATTTTCGTCGTGAATTCGCTGGTAGTCCGGTCATGGCATTCTACTGTGTTCGTCAGTAACAGAACGGTCTATGTAGTGGGCGTTATTGCATATTAATTTCATCATTATCATTTTTTCATCATTACAGCCCTTCACAAGTCCACTGCTGAACATAGGCCTCCCCCAAAGAATGCCACAAAGCACGGTCCTGAGCCACCTGCATCCATCGACTTCCTGCATGTCTTACCAGGTCGTCACTCCATCTCGTGGGGGGACGCCCTACACTTCGCCTACCGGTACGAGGCTGCCACTCGAGAACCTTTCTTCCCCATCGGTTGTCGGTTCTTCGAGCTATATGGCCGGCCCACTGCCACTTCAGCTTACTAATCCGTTGGGCTATGTCGGTTACTCTGGTTCTACTGCGGATATCCTCATTCCTTAGTTTATCACGCAGAGAAACTCCGAGCATAGCCCTCTCCATAGCTCGCTGAGCGACCTTGAGCTTCCTCATACGGCCAGCAGTGAAGGACCACGTCTCAGTTCCATAAGTCATCACTGGCAACACGCACTGGTTGTACAATTTCGTTTTCAGGTTTTGAGGTATGTCTGACGAGAAGATGTGTCGTAGCTTCCCGAACGCTGCCCAGCCGAGTTGAATCCGTCGATTGACCTCTCGGTCGAAGTTGGACTTACCTAGTCGGACTATTTGTCCCAGGTAAACATACTCGTCAACAACTTCGAGCTTAGTGCTCCCAACAACTACCGGCATAGGTGTGACATGGACATTGAACATGATCTTTGTTTTGTCCATGTTCATCTTAAGACCTATCCGTTGGGAAACACTATCGAGGTCATTGAGCATAGTGCTTAGGTCCTCCAGTGATTCTGCCATAAGGACTATGTCGTCGGCAAATCGAAGGTGAGTGATGTACTCGCCATTGATGTTGATACCGTATCCTTTCCAGTCCAGAAGCTTGAAAACGTCTTCCAATGCAGCGGTGAAGAGTTTCGGGGATATGACGTCACCCTGTCTTACACCTCTCTGCAATTGGATAGGTTTCGTACTCTGGTTCTGTACTCGGATAGCCATCGTAGCCCTACTGTACAAGCACTTCAACACCTCGATATACCGACAGTCAACTTGGCACCGCTGAAGGGACTGCAGCACCGCCCAAATTTCGACGGAATCAAAGGCTTTCTCATAGTCCACATACGCCAGACATAGTGGCAAATTGTACTCTTCGGACTTCTGTACAATTTGCCGAAGGGTATGTATGTGGTCTATGGTGCTAAAGCCCTTTCGGAAACCGGCTTGTTCGGGAGGCTGGAAGTCGTCAAGTCTGCGCGCGAGACGATTCGTAATGACTCTCGAAAACAGCACGTAGACGCGGCTCAGAAGGGAAATCGGTCTGTAGTTCTTCAAGAGAGCGTTGTCACCTTTCTTGAAGAACAAGACCACCGCACTTCTGCTCCACGCCTCCGGTGTAATGCCACCATGGAGGACGGAATTAAAGAGCTTCTGAAGGACTTCAAGTACCGGTCTTCCACCCGCTTTCAGAAGCTCCACTGTAATTCCATCCTCGCCTGGGGCCTTACCGTTTTTAAGGTGCTGGAGAGCCATTCTAATCTCGCTCAGACTGACGTCCGGGATATCTTCGGAATAGTGTCGGATGAGACTCGCTCTTGGATCGTTACTCACACTTGCGTGTGGCTCCAACGATGACGTGTACAGCTGCCCATAGAACCTCTCAATCTCACTCAAAATCTCAGGTGTCCCGGAAACGATGCTGCCACATTCTGTCTTCAGCTTTGACAGGTGGCTCTTTCTGGCAGACAGATCTCTGGCAAAGACTTTGGAGCCTTGGTTCCGCTCGATCGCTTCTTCAATACGAGCTGTATTGAAGTTGCGTAAGTCCCGCCGCATGCATTTGGAGATCTGTCTGTTCAGATGCCTGTATGCTGTCAAGTCTGTTGAAGAATGTAGCTTCATCTCCCGTCTAACAGCCATGAGATTAAGAGTGTGATCGGAGAGTTTTTGTGTTCTTCTGCGGCGGGTCTTGCAGAACTTAGCTCCGACCGCATGGACAGTTTCCACGAGCTTGTCATTCATATCGTCCACTTCATTGCAGTCTTCTAGGCACTGAAAACGGTTTTGTAACTCGAGCTGAAAGGTTTCGGGACTTTGGAACAGAGCACGAGGGGGACGGAGCGTTGACTTCATTAGACGAGACCTCTCCAACTTAACGTTTAGGTTCAGTGTGCCTCTAACCATTCGGTGATCGCTACCAGTTTTCACCCTCGCGATCACGGAGACATCACTGAACAGTTGTCGTCTGGTCGTCATAATGAAGTCAATCTCATTTTTTGTCGAACCGTCGGGGCTCGACCAGGTCCACTTCCTGTGGGGCCGCTTCTGGAAGAAAGAGTTCATCATAAAGAGTCCCTCTTTCTCCATGAAGTCGGCCAGCTGCTGGCCCCTTGGGTTCCGTTGCCCTATTCCAAATTTCCCTACTTTCAGCTCACCGTTTTCTCTTGTGCCTAGTTTTGCATTGAAGTCTCCCATTAACACCGTATATTGGGTTTTGGAGGAATGCATGGCTCTAGAGATATCCTCATACATTTCCTCCACCTCCCCATCGGGGTGTGCCGAGGTTGGTGCGTAAACCTGTATGACCTTCAGCGAATACCGTTTGGTGATTCTGAGTATAAGGTACGCAACCCTCGTCGACACACTCCCGATCTTTACAACGTTGTTAACGAGAGACTTGTGGACGATAAATCCGACACCTCCTTGGGACAGATGGTCGCCCTCCCGGTGATAGAGCAAGTTGCCGGATTCGAGGATAACCGTGTCCTCCCCCTCTCTTCGGACTTCGGATAATCCTATAATATGCCAGCGCAACTTGTCTATCTCTTCTTCCAGATCCACGATCTTCTCGTCAGTCCTCAGGGTGCGTGCGTTGTACGTTGCCAGGTCGAGTCGTCTAAGGTGGCAACCGAACCTCCACCGGAGATTCTTAGCACCCCCTGCCCCGCCGTTACCATGGTCGCCACCGTAGCCAGGAATAGCGGGGCCGCCGGGGACTGGGGGCCGTCTCTTTGTTACATTCATAGGGGGGTATTTGCCATAGTTGCCACGCTTGGCGAGCGGGTTGGCAACCGCAGTTTTTTTATTGTAATTTTGGCTATTATCAGGAAGATGCTGCTGCCCATCTCCTGCCTGTTTCCCTTTGTCGCCTTTTACGACACCCACGGGAGGATATGGGGTAGTGGTATTCTTGACCGCCACTACACGATATATTTATACAAATTAATTTATACAAACAATATTTATTAGCACCTGTCGATACTGTTGGGTTCATGGTATGGAACTTTGCAGTGGGTCAGGTTAAACAACAAAAATAACCTTGACATACAACTAACTACCATTGAATATGAGTGAATGACAATATCAATTAATGACTTGCAGCTATTGAATGATTGGACAAGTGGCGCCACCCTGAGGGGTGCCTTTGCACATATAGTTTACATAGGATTGCCGTATCCTAATTTTGATACTATTCATTGTTACGTTTTCGGCTTACCTTAACTCAATAGCGCTCGACGCGGCATTAAAGTCCAAATTGGGCCCATCGTAACATTCAGGTAATTGCACTTCGTCCTCTCGCTTGTCTATTAAATCAGGACTTTCCAGTTTCTTTTCATATATTTTCACATGTTTCTCGAATTCCACTGCAAAAACGATGAAATCATTAAATCTAGGGTGTATTTTTTCTTCTTCATCAGCTCATAAAATTTCTCGGCTGAACATGGGGCTTATTTTTAGTACGGTGAATTTGCCTTTTGTCACGCTTGGCTGGCTGGTTGCCGGTCCCAACACCAGACGTCTCACACGTCGTCGGTCATCTAGCCCGACGCCAATCTGACGTAAACGTGATGGTTATACCGATAGCTATCGGGAGTCATAAGATCTTTCTGGCATTCCCTTCCCTAATGGACTAGGACACCCAAGAGAATAAATGGGGTGAGAAAAATCTGTTACACTTACCGACACCACAATGCTTTATACTTTTATATATCAACTACTCATAATAAATTTAAATATATTTTGAATGACGTGTAGGGTACACGTCATTCAAAATTAACTAAGTACTTTGAAACACTATTTCAAAACTATACAATTCATTATTGTGTGATTTATCTAATATTTTTACGAAATTAAAAATAAATTAAACTTGCTGCCCCCACCGTTGAATTAAAGTATCGCTGAGAAAAATATTTTGCACATTTTTAACCAGTTTTGGGTAACAAGTTTAAAATTGCTCTCACGATCATCACCTAAAAATGTGAGTAGAACATAGAATGCCACTATAATTGTATTATAGTATTCTATGGAATAGAATCAAGAACAAAGGTGAACGAGTCAAAATTATCAGGATTGCAAAAAAAAAACCATTAAATTTAGGTGCTGATGGCTCGGAATGGTGTTATGTGGCATCAGCACAAAATGATACACAAATACGAGTATAGCGTGCATTTGCCGTTTTTTTAACAAAATAAGCCGGGCGAAATGCAGCCAGTACATCTTCTCTAATTTGAATTTGAAGTTTAATTTTTTTTGTACTGCCTTAACAATCCAACTGCGCTATGCTATATAAAATAAAGTTATACATACACGCAATTTTTCAATAAATAAAGTAGTAAGAGTTACAAATTGATGATACCACAATGGGATTTCTCTAATTCCAGCCATTTTGAATTAAGTCATATATTATAATTATAGAGATTCATAAGACAAATAGAGATTAGGAACCTATAGAAAATAGTTATTTATTAAGATAAAAAAGAACTGTCTCCTGCAAGCTCTTAGTTTTAGCAAGTAATTCGATATGAAAAAAAATTAAGATAATATTATAAGATAAGAAAATGAAGATTTTGACACCGTATCAAGATCGTTTAATTCTAAACTGTATTATGCTATTTCGGGGTTTTAAAAATAAGGAATAACACTTATTGATTTTATTAAAAATTCATAAAATTAAGTGATCTTTATTTGACCTCCAAATGACGTCATAAATATGAATGAAGTGAGCCCAAAATCTAGCGATTAGGAAGGAACCATGAAACCACATTTTGCCTCGATGTTTGTCTATTAAATGTCTCGGTTTTGTTTATAAAATACGATTATATCTTTGCTTGATTTCTAATTACATTGATCCACAATAACCGTCGCGTGGACTATTTATTGATGATTTGCTACAAGGGACTGTCTTCCTCCCTTTTCTTTAATTATCAACTAATTTGTGCAAGTTTTCTCCGTCAATTTATGCTAAGTACACAACAGTTATTTACGCTATGGTACAAATAATTAATAGTTTGTGTTTATATAATGTAATATTATATAAATAAAAAGTTTACATGCCTAATTTGGAAAATATATATATGTATTTACATTAAATATTATTTTCTATATTGATAAATGCATGAATATGGGTTCATGGTAATATGAAAAGGTTTTCTACAAATAACGAACGAGATTCTGTCGACCAACGATGGCGAAAAATCACTTAAAAATATAAAACTCCGAATCAGTCGGTAGTGGTGGAGGGCAGCAAGTAAAGGTATCTCTAGTTTCCAACCCACTTGCCCAGCGTGACGTAATTACATCACGTTGGACAAGTAGGTTCAAGAAAGCTACCTTTCAGCTGACGCATTCATAATCCGACGGCAGCGGCGTCCAACAGTGGACTTAGATAAACTGAACAGATAAAATGTGCATAAATAGATAAGTTTACACTAACAAGCTTGTGTGGCTGATAGATTGAGCGTGTTGGCGTATTGTGTGGCGGCAGCGAGTGCAGAGCGCGCGTCGGAACGTTGGCCAAGCTCTATGTGACAGTCAACTCGACGTAACAGCAACTTGTGTCGCTGCTCCGTCGGGTAACCGCTCTCGATAGCCATTGCGATGTCCGATAGGCATTCCTGTAGGTAGCAAATTCAACTACAGATGTTTCTTTAAGATTTTTGTCATACACTGCGGCGGATAGTATGTTGTGTGTGGATCTATGCTGCAGCTATTTTATGGTTGTAGTATAAATGGGTCGACTCAAAAGACGAAGGACCACACCTCAAAGTAATATTCTTTGCGTGAAATAGCAGCTTATTGTGCTTGCTGATTGCTGCTGTGTTTCATATGGTGAGTATGGAGAACCGAAGACCCTTTTTAATGCAAACGAGACGTTTCACCTTTGTCCTCAGGGTCGACAACGAATCTGCATTTGCATTCGTAATCAAGGATAGATGTCTAGGGGCCACAGCATGAACTTACCAGCAGGTGGACTGTGTGCTCGTTTCTCAACCCTATTCTATATAAAAATGATATATAGGTATATATATTAACAACAAATAAATGTTTAAATACAGTAAATGTTTTTAAAGTTATATTCTGCATAATCTGCACTCTTTACCACAACAGTTTCAAGGTGGTGAACCTGCCCATTTTTTGGAGATCATAATGGTCCACTGATGAACATGAGCCTCTCCCATAGATTACATCAGTGGGGATTTTTCCATAGTTGCTACGCTCGGCACGCGGGTTGGCCATCGCAGTTTTTTTATTATTTTTGATGTTTATTTTAGTTTAGCGGTAAACGCGCAATCTTGTGACTTCTGAGGATTAAACTGGACTAGATTTAGTCGCCCCTAATCCGAGACTTTGTCCAGCAAAGACTCGACTTCAGACACAAGTTTGTTCCGGTACTCGGCGACGTTTTCCCGAGAAATATTGGCACGACCGGTGTATAGAGCATCACCAGTGCTGTCATCTGTATAACAATGAATGCTACCAGTTTGCAACATATCATTGATATGCAGAAGAAACAGCGTTGGAGATAGCACGCAGCCTTGTGGAACACCAGCGTTAATAGGCTTGTAGTCGGAACATGCACCGTCTACAACGACCTTGATGCTCTGATCTGCAAGAAATCTGGTGAACCAATTGCACAATTTCTCAGGAAGCCCATAGGAAGGGAGCTTCGAAAGAAGCGCTTTGTGCCAAACCCGATCGAAGGCCTTCGCAATGTCCAAACTAACGGCCAATGCCGCCACCTTGGACTCTCTACCTCCGCCCATCTATGAGCCAAGTAGACCAGAAGATCACCAGCAAAACCGTATTGGCGGTCACTAATCAGCTGGTGATCCCCAAGGTACCGGATGAGCTGGCAGTTTATAACGGATTCCATTATTTTGGAGAACAAGGGGGTGATGGCGATAGGCCTGTAGTTGGACGGGTCTGACCGGTCGCCTTTTTTAGGGATCGGGTGGACAAAAGCTGTCTTCCATGATTTCGGGACTACGCCTAGGGAGTAGGAGTACCGTAAAAGACGCGTTAGGGCCGGTGCGAACTCCGGAGCACACGTCCTCAGCACAATCGGGGGGATTCCGTCGGGCCCACTCAACTTGTTGATGTCCAGGGAGAGGAGTGCTCTGCGAAGCGAGCGCTGTGAGAACCGCACATCCGGCATGGAGCACTCACACCGCGGGATGGTCGGCGGTGTGTTCCCACCGTCATCAAGAGTCGAGTTGGACGCAAAAAGTGAGCTTAAAAGGTCGGCTTTCTCTTTTAGGAGTAGCGGGTAATCTCACACTTCTTTATTTAATAAATATGTTTAGTAAATTGGATCATTATTATCTTCAATTCAAAAACTATTAAATAATTGTTATTCCCTTTCATTTCTAATTCTTTCTCTTAGCACCTGGTTTCTATGTATTACTCATAATATAAATTTAACTTTTTTATTGATATAATAATCATCACCACACAATGTCGCAGTCACAGTTATCATTGACATGTTCCTTGTGCTCACAAAAGTAGCATGGTGATGTTTTGAGAATAGGTGGGAGTAGGGAATATAACGTTAACCTGTCATATACCTAGCTGCAGTTGGATAGGTGTCATACTCTGGTTCCATACTCGGATAGCCATCGAAGCAAGAAAAAGCAAAATCAAAGGCACTCTCATAGTCCACATACGCAATAATAAGTGGTAGATTATATTCTTGGATCTTCTGAACAATTTGCCGAAAGATATGTATGTGGTCTATGGTACTAAAGTCTTTCTGGAAACCATGAAGTCTGTGTGCGAGATGATTCGTAATAACTCTCGAAAACAGCATGTAGACGCGGCTTAATAGGGAAATCGGTCTGTAGTCCTTCAATAGAACATTGACACCTTATTTAAGAAACAAGACCACCGCACTTTCACGCCACACCTTCAGAGCAGTGCCGCCATGAAAGACAGAATTGAAGACCTTCTGAAGGAAATTAAGTACCGATTTTCCACCCTTCCATTCTCGCCCTCGGCGTTGCTATTTTTAAGGTGAAAGAGGGCCATACTAATCTCGCTCAGAGTAACATGCGGGACTTTATTAAACTTTATTAAATAATAGAGTGTTTCTTAGTCTTACAAAAACAATGATATTTAAGTTATAGATAAGTTAATATTTCAAAATTATTGAGCCTACATAAATTCTAATTATCAATGCTAGCTGTAATATACTTTTCGTCAAACTATCTGTCGTAAAATTTTGTAACCTAAATTTTATTTCTTTCATATAATTTTATTAATTACTGTGGTCTCTTTCTTTTTCAAAAGTTAATGTCCCAATATTGTAACATTTTTTAAAAACAACTGAGGATTGGAGAGTAAATATGTTATATGAGGAATACCACAGGGTTCTAACAAACTATGTACTACAAATAATTGTTCGGGGTCTGGATGTTTATCCTTGTGAAATTTATGTATGTTAACTGCCTCATGATACAAGAATCTTAGGCCCATATTAATAAACGTTACTCAACGAACTCAAGGGTGTAATCATTACGATATCAGCATCTCAAATAAACACATAAAAACAGTATCTCAAAACACTGTACTTAAGAATACTGTTCTATGACTTGCACTCAAGTACACACACTTGAGAGTCGAGTTTCGTTTATTAATCAGTGTGGCACTCAGTTGATAACGTAAAACTAAACCGCATCTTGCGATATGTTTATTAATAAGATCATAACCTCGATATTGTACTCAAGTGCGTGTACATAAGCTGAGTAACGTTTATTAATACGGGCCATAGTGTGGAGGTAACATTATTAAAAAAAAACTTTCAAGAAAATAAGAAAAATACCTGAAACCGCTTCATCCTCAACAGTGACGCCGACCTGTTAGCTAAAGCCAAACAGTACATTGGTCCATTATGATTAGCATAAACTACACTCTTAGAATAACATCTATAACTCTCTTCAACCAAATTAGCTCTAAATTTGTCGTTGCCTTTTTGCCGCCATAATAATGACACTTCATCACATTTCAGAGCTGTATCCAATTCACTTGTCTTTTTGCCATAAGAAGCTTTCATTTGTCGCAACCACTGAAGCATGATTTTCCTAAAAAGTAAAAATGTACCAATGCATTATCATTAAAGCAAATAATAACTATAAAAATGTTATACCTCAGCAATATACCTAGATAATATTATATCTAAGCCAAGAAGGTTTAGTGAAGGAGATTTGTAGGGTGACCTAGAAGATAAAGTGGTGACAACCCCCAAAAGTCTATGGATAGAGATGACAGCCCAATAACATTAAATATAGTTACTTTTGCTTTGAGTGGTGTTAAAATTTTACACTTCACATACTAATTTCTACAACGAGTAGTCCATAGGAATAATTAAATGTTAGCAGTCATTTTACTAAATGCTTTTAATATGTACATTTACTAATTATGCCAAGTTTAATAACCAGCGACGAGGTTCGACACTCGTCATGTCCTGTCTCCCAGGGGGGCGAAAAGTAGATTGCGGAGGCCCGTCTGGCTACGCTGAATGTATGTGAATGATAAGATGGATGAAGTATGCGATATGATGAATGATAGAGGAATAGATGTGTTATGTGTGAACGAGACGAAACGAAAGGGAAGAGATGTCACTGCACATGGCACGTATACCGCTTACTGGTCTGGAGTAGACGAGACCGAGATGGCATGCCAGGGAGTCGGTGTCATCCTTTCAGAAAGAATGGGTCAATGTGTGAAAGAGTATGAATGTGTTAGCCCAAGGCTGCTATGGATACAAATGAAAGTGGGCTTAAAGAAGTTGTTTGTGCTAGGGGTGTACGCCCCAGATATGTCTAAGCCCACTTATATCCGAGAGCAATTTTGGGACATGGTAAGGCTGGTGTTGATGAAATGTAAAGAAAATGAAAATATTATCATGGTAGGAGATTTTAATGGAAGGGTTGGGGTGAAGAGGTCTGGTTATGAAAGGATATTAGGAACGTTTGGCGATGAAAGAATAAATGAGAATGGTGAAGACCACCTCACTGTATGTGTGGAAAAGAATCTTTTTGTGGCGGACAATTTCTTTCACCATAAGAAGATTCACATGTATACATGGGAAAGAGGGGATGATAGAAGCATGATAGATTTTATAATTGTGAATGAAAGAATGAGGAGCGCAGTGGTAGATACAAGGGTTTACCGGGGGTCCAGCATGGGGACGGATCATTACTTGGTCTTATGCCGAATTAATGGTCTATTCAGACGTTGGCGGCATTGGACATCTGTGTCTACCAATGCGTTACAGCGTATAAGAATAGAGAGGTTACAAGATGAAGGTGTGAAAGAGAATTATAAATGCAGACTGAGGGAAAATATAAGTGGGTTGAATGAATTATGTATGAATGATTTAGAATTGAAGAATGTATGGAATAATATTAAGAAAGTTTTGGTGGATGCAGCCACCGAAGTATGTGGTGTAAGTGTGGTGTAAGTAAGAGAACGAATGAAAGGAAAAGAAATACGTTGTCGTGGGATGATGAGGTACGGATGGAAGTTGAAGCAAAGAAGAGAGCATGGCTAGATTTACTAGCAACTAAAGCTGGTAATTCTGGCGGTATGAATGATGAGATTGAAAGAAAAAAGGCAGACTTTAGACATATAAATAAGAGAGTAAAAGAAGTTGTTGAAAGGTAAAAGCAAGAAAGGATAGATAAAAATGATAGAAGGATATCTGATAACTTCCAGGAAAATATTAAAATGTTCTGGAAGCTCGTAAGAACTGCCAGGGGAAATTCAAAACAGCCTAGAATGAATGCTATACGAGACGAGAATGGCTGCATGTTGAATGATGAAGTTTCGAATTTAAAGAGATGGAAGGAATACTTTGAAAGCGTGTTTAACAGTGAAGAGTCGTCTGAAATAAGTGAAATAGAAATTCCGGAAGAAGTGGAGAGAGGTAGGGAGATAAGTGTAGATGAAATAATGAAAGCAATGAAAAGCATGAAAGCAGGTAAGGCAGCCGGATATGATAGAGTATCACTCGAAATGCTAAGGGCTGGTGAGGGTGTCGTTGCAAGCCTGCTGTACACCTTGTTTAATTTATGTTGGGAACTGAAGCGGGTACCGGAAGACTGGTGCAAAGCCATTATAGTCCCAATATATAAGGGAAAGGGGTCGCAGCAGGACTGTAAAAACTACCGTGATATCAGCTTGCTTAGCATTGTGGGTAAACTGTATGTTAAGGTGTTAATTGAAAGAGATATGGAAGAAACTGATGGAAAAATTTGGGATGTGCAAGCTGGATTTAGAAAGGCGATGGGGTGTACGGATCAAGTCTTTTCCATGTGCATGATAGCGGAGAAGTTTTTGGCCAAAAAATCAGTTTTTTGTGCATTCATGGACTTGGAAAAGGCTTATGACAGAGTGGACAGGAATGTGTTATGGCAAACACTGAACTCATTTGGGTTGAGCGCTGGCTTGATACAGGCATTAAGGTCTCTTTATAGAGACTCTAGTGCTTGTGTCAGGATCAACGGGGTCTACTCGGACTGGTTTGGCATTCATAAAGGTGTCAGACAGGGATGTGTGGCTTCCCCGTGGCTGTTTAACCTATTTATGGACACTTGTTTGCAAACTTTGAAAGTTGAAGAATGTGGGTTGAGAATGGGTGAGTTAACCGTCAAATGCCTTTTGTACGGCCGAGTTGCAAATGATGGTTACTTTAATGAATTGGTCATTGAAAGAAAGGGGTATGAAAGTGAACGCAAGTAAGACGAAAGTAATGGTTTTTGAAAAAGAAAGTAAAACTTTATGTGAAATAAGAATAGAAGGGAAGTTGATTGAGCAAGTGGATGAGTTTGTATATTTGGGATGTTTATTTAGCGGGGATGGTAGATATGATAAGGATATAGAACGACAAGTGAACGCAGGAAATAGAGTGAATTGGGCTCTACACGCTATTATGAGGAGTCAGAATGTGTCAACTAAGGCACGTATGGCAATTCATAATGCTGTGTTAGTCCCTACTTTACTGTATGGTAGTGAAAGTTGGGTCTGGCAGAAGGAGCATGAGAGTAGAATAAATGCTGTAGAAATACGTTCGTTAAGGAGTATGCTAGGGCTGAATCAGAATGACAGGGTGAGAAATAGTGTGATAAGAGAAAAGTGTGGTTTGCAAGATGACGTTGTGACAAGGATTAAGAAAGGAATGCTTCGGTGGTTTGGTCATGTAGAAAGAATGAACGAGGAAAGAGTGACAAAGCAAATTTATGTTGCAGAAGTGAACGGCAGGGTCGGGAAGGGACGCCCTAGACGAAGGTTTATCGACCAAATCGGCGATACATTAATTTATTAGGATTTATTATGAGTGAGATATATGAATGTAAAAGAGGCGAGAGAGGTGTGTCAGGATCGCGCCAAATGGAAGTCCGCAGTCTCTGCCTACCCCTCTGGGTGACGGGCGTGAGTGTTTATGTATATTATGTATGTATATGTTTAATAACTAGAAGAATAAAATTCTCGGCCAAATTAAATTGTTTAACAGACAGAACTTACAAAAAATGTTATTGATATCAATAATATAAATCCCTACTTTATCTTTGTTTTAAAGTACATTTATTTATCTTTGATTCAATAATGTCATCTTATTACAAGACATGGTTTAGTGATAGGATTGAGTTTAAACTATGGTTTAAGAAAAGTCTTTCTCATGGAAGAAGTCCCTTCAATGCCAATACAGTCTTCATGAAATTTGTCATTTTCGGTCAATTTCCATATTTTATATTTAAATTTGCATATATTCCATGGGACTTCTGTATTTGAACAGACTCTAGTTTAAGCCTGATTAATTATAAACTACTTTTTGTAATAAGACAGATAGACTTGGTCAAACATATTACCATATCTGGTACTGCAATATACTAATTTGACAAATACAGACCCTTGACTTAACATCATGACATGCTTTAGATCAGTGATTTCCAACCAGTGGTCCACTGACCACCAGTGGTCCGCAAGAGCTTAAATATGGTCCGCGAAAGATTTAAATATTTTATGTACCTAATTGTTTTAAATAACACATTTATTATTTTCATGTCATGCAGGCAGTGTAACACCTTAATAAGTACCTACTAGCTTTTACAATAAATACACAAATAATACTGTTTATGAATGCTTCTTTTCAGTTTATTATAAAATTATGTTAAAAGTTGTGATTATTATTTATTGTTAAATTAAGAATTTTTTTATTCCTCTTGTGGTCCCTGCTAACTATAAAAAAATCAAAGTGGTCCCTGGTCAAAAAAAGGTTGGGAAACCCTGCTTAGATAAATGATCATGCTCAACGACAATGACTCTTATACAATGCTAACAAACATTATCATGTTTTTATTAGCGCTTGTGTATATTATATATCTGTTTGTGTTGAAACAGAAACTTTTTTATTCAACATAGATTATTTAGAAAGTCACTCTTTTGTTTTACCACTGGGTCGAAAAAAAAACCTCAGTCCTGGGATGAACCAGCAAGAAAGCCAGCGAGACTTTAAAAACAGCTTACAATCACATATGTTACACATTTATAACACAAAACAAATTAGATATAGTTGGGTAGCTGCCACCTCATCTCAATTAAGTTTGGTTGAATTTAGTAATTGATTTTAAACTAACTTCCCAATGAGCTAGACACTTGGAATTTTCAACATACCTCAGAACTGGATAATAATTTGAATTATAATTTTATCACATGTATCATAGTAAGTAAATTGCATGTCATGTAAGAATCCGTTTATTATGACGCCGCCTATATTGACCAACTGCTTATTATGAAGTAATTACACAACAAAGTTTGGTTTTCATATAAAATTCTTTATAACAAAGTGGGATAAAATGACTTCGCTTATTGTGAAATGTCGCTTATTGTGACCCATTTTTAATAAATTGTCTCCTTTGTGATTGGGATTGTGCTTTGGAGAGTCACGTGGTACCCGACAACATACGGCGCGTGCATGGCTTCTTTTTGTTTTGAGTCTGCGGGTAATTGATGCTGGAAGGTCACACAGGTTGTTAGTGATTTGTGAAAAAAATGACATCTCAATGTCGTCGTAAAGCATTTACGATTGAGAATAAAAGTGCAATAATATGCAGATTAGAAAATTGAGAATCCATATCATCTCTCGCAAGGGAATTTGGGGTTGGTCATTTGACAATCTCAATGATTTTCAAAAACAAGAACCCGATTAAGGAATAATTCAATTCAAACGTTTTGAAACCGAAGAGGCTTACTAACAAAAACAGGAGATTGTTTTTTTCTACAAAATGCTTTTTATGACATCCTCTTAGTATGACGTGTTTGTTATGTCCCTTCGATGTCATTATAAACGGATTCCACTGTAAAACTATCACGTGTGCATGTCAATTGTAGCTTACAGGATGAAAACTAGCACATGACTCCTTTAATTCATGTTGTTTTTTAATAAAAATGTTTGTTCATGTAAAATATTATTTATTCAGCTGATATTAAGATTTTATTTGATATTTATTTTAAAAGTGATGTGTAGAAACTGATTTAAATTGAGATTTTGAAACTGTAAATATTCCCTTATCTCCCCCTCTATTTCATAATTATAAATTAAACGATCGAAAAAAAATCTTATTTTACTTCCATCAAGAGTGTTTTATGCAAACAGTTACAGTTTTACCTTACGCCTTCATTTTTGCAGAAGTAACTCATAGTGTCAATTTCATTTTCACTAGTGCGATCGATTTTTTTTTCTTCCGATGACAATAACAATAGTAATATTTCCCACTGTTTAGCGCAATCGTCAGGTAAACTTACACTATTCATTGCGTATAGGGCATAAAACTTTCAAGTTTATCTAACAGAAATTAATTTGTAGAGTATACTGATAAAGAACATCAAAATGAAAACAAAAACAAATCAAAATTTACAAAGAATTATTAGTTTATTTTGTACATATTTTACCATAGGTCTTATGCTTATACTGTCAGTGTCAAGGTGTCAGTGCAGTGTCAAACAACTCGTTATAATTTTTTTTTTGTAGTTTATGGCCTGGTATCTAGACCTTTAGTCCAAAACTCGTTAGAAAATACCGTAAATATGTAGAGGATTGACTATGTAAAATACATTATGCTAGTTTTTTGTACGATTCGCCAAGGTCTTAGACCATATAGCCTAGTCTGATTATATTTTATTCACAAACATCTTCAGAACATTTATCATTTATTTTCTGTGATGTAAGTGCTGTTAGCCTACACGGCTCTTACAACTTCACCTGATACAGGGGAGCTATTTAAAAAGGGAAAGGCAATGATTATGAAAATAATGATGATGATGGTTTATGATTTAATATTGTCACCAATCATATTCCCTCTGTTGAGGTTTTTTGAACTATGTAACCACTGTCCGAGTGGGGGTGCGCGGACCTCGCCTCTTAACTGCTAAGCTCATGTAGGTTTATGCTGATGCATAACCTCTCGTCTGTGGGGTGGCAGAATTCAGCCAAGAAAAAAAAAGTCGCATCTGTGGACTGGCTGAATTCTGCCATTACTACACGGTCGTATTTCGCGGCAAAACTCGCATGTTTCTTTATCATTGTCAGTGCAATAAGACTGTGTTTATTATGAACTTGGCCCTATTATATACGTTAATACTAGCAATGTCTAAAGAAGAAAAAATAATAATCTTATCATTGAAGTTCTACTGATTTTGCACTTTGAGATCGAACATTGCTGTGATCATTTTGCTTATAAAATTGTGAATTATAAGTTATATCATGGAAAATACAATGGAGCGGTAAGTTATAATACGGCCGACGTATCTTGGCGAGTCTGAATATAGGCTCTGCGAAGTTTAGCGCATGAACACTCGTGAAGAAAACTGTTATTGTCATTTTTTTATATATACCAATGTACAAATAAAATTTCCCTAATACAGTGACCAAAAATATCAAAACACTTTGGAGACATTATAAATTAAAGATTCAATTTTGATACCTCACCTTTCGATAGGGGCAGATTTTATCACAAACACATACAATATTATTTACATTTAATACTTTTTATTTATTTACACTTATTATTATTTAATCACTGTCGCTGAGGGGGGAAATTCCTAACATAAAGTCGTCGGCCCCTTGTGTACCATGTGAGGTACTTGGCATAGGTTCATCTTCGTAATCGTCGCTCTCACTTTCAGACTCACTTTCTGAATCTGAAGCTGTATTAATGATGAATAATTGATCCGTCATTTCGTCAATAATATGGTCGCTCTTCCTATAGTCATGTTCGACCTCTTGCACTTTTCTGCATAAAGCACTCCATTCATTCTGACCCATTAAATTTACTTTTTCTTGTATGAGCTCCATTGTCCGGGTTACGTTCCAGTCGACGTTTTTAGCGGCTACGTGCCCTTTAATGGCAGCCCACACCATCTCGATGGGGTTTAAATCGGGATGATATGGGGGTAAACGAAGGACATCGTGGTTGTTTTGTTTAAACATTTCATCTATTACGTATTTTTTATTCACGTCTTTGTTTTTTTTTATTAGATCGTAAAGTTGTGGTTTACGCATGTCCTTTTCATATGGTATACCCTTTTCTAATAACCACGATTCCATTTTTGCCTTCTTGTCATTAGATGTAGGGGCAGGATCCATTAATTTGTTGTGGTACGGAGCATTATCGATAACCACCACCGAGTTAGGGCTCAAATTTGGAATCAGTTGGGTCCGTAACCATTTCTCATAATTTTTGAAATTCATGTCATCATGATAGTCTCCGGTTTTGCTGCCAGATTTGAACATTAGTAGCGCGTTCGGAACAAACCCTGCTTCTGACCCAGCGTGTACCATCACTATCCGCTGACCTTTTGATATCGGGCGCTTTAGTCCTTGAGCGGAACCATCTGACCACGCCTTACCTTTTGTATGTGATGAGTGGGCATACGACTCGTCAGTGAATACAATTGGTCGCCCTTCGTCCCTGTATTTTTTCATTGCCTTCAAGTACAAGATCCTTTTCAGGCGAATGTCGGTCTTCTCTATAAGAACCATTCTATTGGTTTCGGTCTTTCGCCACTTGAAACCCAAGTTTTTGATAATTGTCTTTAAGCTCGTTTTACCACCTTGAAAATTTATATCCCGTTTGAGTTTCGCTAGTAATTTGTTTATCGTCGGCATTTCTTTTTCAGTTTTGTGGAAGTTGTGTATGCATCTTTTTACTACTCCCTGGTCAAAATTATCCATATCAGTAATAGGTTTTGATCTAGACCTTTTTTTACCAGGCGTGCGGAATACTGAAAGTAAGCCCGAAATATTGCCTTCAGTTGCGATCCGCTGTACTGTGCGTTGGGACACACCAGTTGCGTTAGCAACTCTTAAATAAACTTTATCGACATCTTTTACGCCTTCTTCTTTTTCTTTTTTCATATATTGCGTTAAATCGTAAATAATTTTTCTCGCCTGGCGATTTAACACACTGTTATGTTTTGGTGGCATGTTTGGCGAATAATATAAGTGCTAACTGACACTTGCAAATAAAACAAATAAAACAAATAAAACAAACAAAACAAACTTAACACTATTAATAAAAACAAACAACAATAACAACGAAAACTTTTGTAACCGACTGTGCTCAAGACAGAGATAGCGACACGAACACGACACCAATGCTAACGTGTGACTGAGAAATATTACCGTGTACCGAGCATTGCCGAATAAGCACGAAGCTTTACGAAGTAACCAGAAAGGGATGTCCAACACGCGTGCCTGAGGGTGTTGTTTAATCGATTTTTATTCAAATCGATTAAAATTAAGACATAAAAATATATTTATTTGCAATTTATAAGGAGGTTCTAAATTTTCTCAAATAGTCGTTACTCAAGAAGACGTTAATAGATAATTGATATTTAAGTACATTATGTCTTACAGCTGAGAAAATAATATGTTTTTAGTTTTTTTTTTTATTTAAGTCGAAATCTTGTTTATTATCAACAAAATTCACTATATTTGTAAATCTATTTCGTTTAATATCTTATATAAACAAAAATCAATAACTTCTAAATAAAACTAATCGATTGCGATATTTTATGACTAAAGGGTCGATTGTGTTTACTTATGGTCAATCTCTAGCCTAGACCACCGCCCCCCGTACGTCGCCTCATGCCACCATTTTGTTCCTTAAAAAAGCTATTGCGCAACCTTCTGCGCGAAGGTCGGACTCGCCAAGATACGTCGGCCGTATTGTATCTTTAATTATTTATCTATTTTCGAGGCTCGTTGAAAATTTTCAGTGAAGATTTTGTAATTGAATTTGACTCTGCCCTAGAAATGATCGCCGTATTGTTGCAAGTTTTTACTTATTTAGTGACTAAATTGCTTCCAGTGTCACTATATTGTGTTCAATATTTTGTGAAACTAATATTTGAGCTAAATACAAAAGCACATAGTTATTTTGGTGGAAAAAAAATGAGAAATCGCCATAAAAGTATGAACCGGTCGTTTCGTGGCTGAAATCTGCCATATCCACAGACTAGGTTTGACGTTTGTTTTAGTAATGGTGGAAAATATGGATATGCCTTTAGCAGAGATGGGAAAAATAGTTTCTAGAAGTATTTAAAAATTCATAATGCAAATTCTTGGTTAATATTTTAATTTGAAGTAAAAATACATAATAGTTTTGAATTAAAAAAAGTATTTAAATACAAAATTCAAAATACGTACTTTTAAAATAGCTTTTTTAAACAAAATTTCTTACTTGATTTTAACACTACTATTTTTCTTAGATGTATGGTGGCATTACACCGGAGGCGTGGAGCAGAAGTGCGGTGGTCTTGTTCTTCAAGAAAGGTGACAACGCTCTCTTGAAGAACTACAGACCGATTTCCCTTCTGAGCCGCGTCTACGTGCTGTTTTCGAGAGTCATTACGAATCGTCTCGCGCGCAGACTTGACGACTTCCAGCCTCCCGAACAAGCCGGTTTCCGAAAGGGCTTTAGCACCATAGACCACATACATATCCTTCGGCAAATTGTACAGAAGTCCGAAGAGTACAATTTGCCACTATGTCTGGCGTATGTGGAAATTGAGAAAATTCCATCGAAATTTGGGTGGTGCTACAGTCCCTTCAGCGGTGCCAAGTTGACTATCGGTATATCGAAGTGTTGAAGTGCTTGTACAGTAGGGCTACGATGGCTATCCGAGTACAGAACCAGAGTACGAAACCTATCCAATTGCAGAGAGGTGTAAGACAGGGTGACGTCATATCCCCGAAACTCTTCACCGCTGCATTGGAAGACGTTTTCAAGCTTCTGGACTGGAAAGGATACGGTATCAACATCAATGGCGAGTACATCACTCACCTTCGATTTGCCGACGATATAGTCCTTATGGCAGGATCGCTGGAGGACCTAAGCACTATGCTCAATGACCTCAATAGTGTTTCCCAACGGATAGGTCTTAAGATGAACATGGAAAAAACAAAGATCATGTTTTAATGTCCATGTCACACTTATGCCGGTAGTTGTTGGGAGCATTAAGCTCGAAGTTGTTGACGAGTATGTTTACCTGGGACAAATAGTCCGACTAGGTAAGTCCAACTTCGACCGAGAGGTCAATCGACGGATTCAACTCGGCTGGGCAGCGTTCGGGAAGCTACGACACATCTTCTCGTCAGACATACCTCAAAACCTTAAAACGAAATTGTACAACCAGTGCGTGTTGCCAGTGATGACTTACGGAACTGAGACATGGTCCTTCACTACTGGCCGTATGAGGAAGCTCAAGGTCGCTCAGCGAGCTATGGAGAGGGCTATGCTCGGAGTTTCTCT